GACAATAGACGGGAGAGCGCATGACACAGAGACAATACAAGCCATGCGCTCACATAACACAACAAGAACATGCAGCCAATGAGAGAACTCATTAACCGCATGTTCATGACAACAAACACAACACTGAAGCACACGACAAAAGCACGTGACCACAATGTAAACACCAAGCCACGTGCTTTGACAAGAGACGCAAGACACGAGCACACGATAGATAAACACCTTACCGTGCGCTCACACATAAGCAACGCACATGCTTCATCTCAGCGCCAACCAAAACTGAAACCAACTAGACGGAGGCGCCGAGAATAAAGCAGCGCGCTGCTGACAGAACAAACACAAACACTAGTACAAGAGCGCGCGCGTCTGAGGGACGCAGAGCGTGCGCGGCCACATCAAGTGGCAGCGCGCACACTCTGCATACACCCACGATGGCGCGCGCACGCACACAGAGACAGAAACAGGACCAGACATGGAGTAGCGTCAGAGCTCTGCCACCAAAACAAGAATTTACAAGACCAAAGTGGCAGAACCCTGACACTGTGGTCTGAATAGGTGGAAAATATAAATTTAAAACTGAAATTTCTTGCCCATAAAGAGAGCCTCTTAACATAATATATCTTGAGACCAAATCTTGAGCTGCTACTCCGCCATTACCGTCACGTGACTCCGAAAAAAGATACTGTCATCTTGATGAATGAGACTCAAAGATCCCAGTAAGTAAAATGATATGAACTTCTCATCACTACTGTCCAGTGTGAAATGTCTGGTGCAGTTTTAATTTTAGAGCTGTAATAAAAGTCTTCTCACACTCAAAGCACAAATACTCTCTCACACCAGTGTGGAACTTAATGTGTTCATTAGGGTTGACTGATTGGTTGATACTCTTCCCACACAGAGTGCATGTGAATGGTTTATCTACAGTGTGGGTCTTCATGTGTTTATTAAGGTCTGAGGAGTTGCTGAAACTCATCCCACACCGAAGCTGTGGGTTTCTCTCTGTTGTGGCTTATCATGTGTAGATAAAGGAGTGATGGTTGTCTGAAACTCTTCCCACACTGAGTGCATGTGAATAGCTTCTCTCCAGTGTGATTCCTCATGTGTCGATTAAGGTGTGATGAGCAGTTGAAACTCTTCCCACACTTAGTGCATGTGAATGGTTTCTCTCCAGTGTGGATCCTCATGTGTTGATTAAGGTTTGATGAGCGGCTGAAAGTCTTTCCACACTGAGTGCATGTGAATGATTTCTCTCCAGTGTGGATCATCATGTGTTTATTAAGGTCTGATGATTGGCTGAAACTCTTCCCACACTGAGTGCATGTGAATGGTTTCTCTCCAGTGTGAATCCTCATGTGTTTATTAAGGGATGATGAGCAGCTGAAACTCTTCCCACACTGGGTGCATGTGAATGGTTTCTCTCCAGTGTGGATCCTCATGTGTAGATTAAGGTCTGATGAGCGGCTGAAACTCTTCCAACACTGAGTGCATGTGAATGGTTTCTCTCCGGTGTGGATCATCATGTGTTCATTAAGGTATGATGTTTGCCTGAAACTCTTCCCACACTGAGTACATGTGTATGGTTTCTCTCCAGTGTGAATCATCATGTGTTGATTAAGCAATGATAACCGGATGAAACTCTTCCCACACTGAGTGCACGTGAATGGTTTCTCTCCGGTGTGAATCATAATGTGGTCATTAAGGTGTGATGATTGGCTGAAACTCTTCCCACACTGAGTGCATGTGAATGGTTTCTTTCCGGTGTGGATCATCATGTGAATCTTAAGATTGCCATTTCCTCCAAAACTCTTCCCACACTGAGTACAGGTGAAACGATTCTTGTCTCTCCTTTTCAAAATACCATCAGTCTGTAAATGATTTTTGTCCTCAATTTTGACATGATGTTCCTCCTCTTTACTCCCCTCACTCTCTTCAATTAGGTCTGAAAAAAAAAGTTTTCATTAAGTCTTAAAAGCTCTCATCAAAAGCTGAAAAGTGAAAAGACACTGGAAACATTGGCTACACACATTGTATTTGTGATGCACATTAAATGTTAAATAAATCAGATCATATTGTGTTTGGTCCATTAACGTGTACACATTTAAGCAGATTCTATTCATCTTTATTTATCTAGTGCTTGTACAATGTAAACTGTCAAAGCCGCTTAACATAGAACTTATAGTAAATTGAAACGGTGTCAGTCCAGTTTTGAGAGTTTCTTACATAATTGATCATAAAAGTAATTTTGTCACATTGATAGGTCGCAGATTTGAAAGGTGTAAATGGTGTGACGACCCCAGTATTCTAGTTTGGATGTGGCAGATCCTGATTAGGTGCCATGGTTGCTCCCCAATTGGTTCAAAGCATATAAATGCGAGAGTGAGCTAGCTTCTGTAGGATAGTGTGGCTACTGGCTGTCCTTGCATCAAGACCATCTCATTATTTTGGCAACCTTATGGTTTTGTTTGGCATTATTTATATGTGTAGTTAAAGTTAGTTATTTTCTTTATTTTCCCTTAGACATTTGTTTGTTTCTTGATTAGTTGTTTTATTAGTTGTGTATAATAAATAAGTTGCATATATAATCTTTTTGTTGTCTGAGCTCTTTTATGTTGCAACTCTAACGAGGGGGTCGTAACAATGGCCTATTTTTATTTGTATACATTCATAATTACAACAAAATGTTTCTCTAAAATTTGTTTAGCAGACAGGGAATACTATGGATAGAATACTATGGATAAGATACTGTGGATAGAATGAAAGAACCAACAGGGGAAAGCAAAGAAGGAGGTGTTTCTTTCTTTATTAACAACTCATGGTGAGATAAGAGAAACATACATCCAGTTAGATCATTTTGTCCTCCTGATCTGGAATACCTTATGCTTCGGTGCCAACCACACTGGCCACCAAGAGAGGTCACAGCTGTTATAATTACAGATGTTTGCATCCCCCCTCAAGCCAACACAGAGCAGGCGCTTAGGGAACTGAATGGGAGCATAAGCGAGCAGGAAACCACACACCCAGAGGCAGCGTTTATTGTTACAGGGGACTTTAACAATGCCAATCTCAGGAAAATCACTCCAAAATACTATCACCATATCACCACAAACATGCGTGGTGACCGAATTTTGGACCACTGCTATTCTCCGTTCCGGGACGCCAACAAATTCCTCCCCCGCCCACCGCTGAGCAAATCAGATGACTCTTTTGTTCTGCTCTTGCCTGCTTACAGACAGAAACTGAAACGGGAACCACCCACCCTCAAGACGTTTCAAAGCTGGACGGACCAATCGAGTTCCATACTTCAAAAATGTTTTGATCATGTGGACTGGGAGATGTTCCGGGCAGCTTCTGATGACGACATTAAAGTTTACTAAGACACCGTTACATGCTTCATCAGAAAGTGTATAGAAGACATGGTCCCAACAAAAACTGTTCGTATCTACCCCAACCCAAAACCATGGATTAATGGCGAAGTTCGAACAGCCCTATCAGTGTGAACCTCTGCCCATAAATCCAGAAATGCTGAGGAACAAAAACAAGCAAACTACAACCTCAGGTAAACTATCAAAACAGCAAAACATCAATACAGAGGTACAAGGTAGAGGGGAGGAGTATGTGGCAGGGACTTAATTACATCACGGACTTTAAAAGTAACAAACCCGCCACTGTAAACATTTCTGCATCTCTCCCGGACGAGCTCAACTTGTTCTACACTTGCTTTAAAGCCCAGGACAGCACCCACACACTGTGCGCTCCGGGGCTGATACCGAAACCGCCAGCACACTCTATTTCTGTAGTGGACGTAACAAGATCTTTCCGGAACATCCGGAAAGCTACGGCCCAGATGGCATCCTTGGACGTGTACTTAAAGCATGCGCACACCAGCTAGCAGGGGTTTTCACGGACATCGTTAACCTCTCGCTCTCTCGGTCTGTGGTTCCCACATGCTTTAAGACAGCTACTATTGTGCCCATACCGAAATAATCTAAAACCACATGCTTAAATGACTGGCGTCCAGTTGCTCTGACACCCATCTTCAGCAAGTGCTTTGAGAAGCTGTTTAAAAAGCACATCTGCTCTGTACTGCCTGCTCACACTGACCCTCTGCAATTTGCTTACAGGAATAATCGTTCCACTGATGTTGCAATTGCTTTCACCTTGCACACTGCTCTGTCTCACCTGGAAAACAAAAACACAAATGTGAGAATGCTGTTTGTGGACTACAGCTCAGTATTCAACACTATAGTGCCTGCCAAACTAGTGGTGAAGCTCCAAGCTCTGGGTCTACACAGCTCTATGTGCATCTAGATCCTGGACTTCCTGTCAAGCAGACGCCAGGTGGTCAGAATAAACAACATGACCTGATCCACACTGATGATCCACAGAGCTGTGTTCTCAGTCCACTCCTCTACTCCCTGTACACACGCGACTGTACAGCCAAACACAGCTCCAACGTCATCGTTAAATTTGCTGATGACAGTGGTGGGCCTAATCACAGATAATGATGAGATGGCCTACAGAGAGGAGGTTTACACTGACGCAGTGGTGTGAGGAAAACCACCTCTCACTCAACATCAGCAAAACCAAGGAGCTGGGAGAAAAGAGAACACACCCCCATCACCATCAACGGGACACCAGTGGAGAGAGTCAGCGCTTTCAAGTTTCTTGGAGTACACATTGCTAAGGATTTGACATGGACTGCTCACACAGACGCAGTGCTAAGGAAGGCACAACAACGCCTCTTCTTCCTCAGGCGTCTCAGGAGGTTTGGAATAAGCCCTCACATCCTCCGCTCGTTCTACACCTGCACTGTGGAGAGCATCCTGTGTGGCTGTATCTCCACCTGGTATGGAAATAGCACCAGCAGCAATCGCAAAGGCCTACATAGAATTGTGTGAACTGCTGGACGCGTAGTAGGAGGTGAGCTTCCCTCCCATCACGACATCACCAGGCGGTGCATGAGGAAAGCCAAGTCAATTATAAGCGACTCCAGCCACCCAAGCCATAGACTTTTCTCTCTGCTACCCTTAGGCAAATGGTTCTGCAGCATCCGGTCGCGCACCAGCCGACTAAAGGAAAGCTTCTTCCCTCAGACTATCAGGCTGATGAACACTTAATACCCCTCACTGCACACCATGTATATGTAGCATGCACTGCACTTTAACCAATACATACCTAAAACAATACTGCCTACAACTATGGGTACACATATTCATTATACATATCGCTGTCAACAATTATAATGCTGCCAAATTATTTTGTACTATCTGTATTTTGCACTGTCATTATATTTGCACTGTCTGTATTTTGT